CTTTTGTCTACCAGGACCCTCCTTGTACCCTTAGATAGGGGTATATGGTTCCTGATAGTGGGTACTTTGGGTATAATCGAGGGTCTAAGTAGAGATGTGGGATGTTGAAAAGTTAGGTGCTCCTTTTTACCAAAATAACTACCCATAATGGATAATCAAACGCAACATGGAAAATCAAATGGGAACTGAGGTTTGTCGGAAGTTCATAGGGATTAGGTGTTTTCAAAATTAGGGATCCGTTTTCGAGGGTCCCCATAAGAGGGATTGTAGTACATACCTAGTCATGTCCTAGTCTGGGGAACCCTAGAAAGAGAAGAAACATTTCTGCCGAATGGCATGTAGAGGTAGCCCCAAATCCATAGGTGCCGTTTATGTCCCTCCATGTACTGGGTCATGGTGTGTGTGTATATATTTATATAAGTATACACGGTTATTTACGTTGGTTAAGCTAACCTAATACAACCCACGGATACACGTGGAGTGTCTGGTTTTGTACAATGCTTCAACCAGGAAAGCCACAACTTACTGGTTCTTAGTAGGGAATAATGAGGGAATATAATCCCTCTATAATCCTTATATCATATAGTCTCATATTGCGTACGAACCCCTAGTAAGACAATTCATCAGCGCTGATACCAGGTTTCGCCCCGACTTGATCATCCTCCATCCAAAGTTCCTCGGATCTTCTCCTTATTGAGTCGACGTTATGGCACGGGGTCTCCAAGAAGTTTGAGATTAGGGTTTAGGGTTCAGGGTTTGAGTTTAAGGCTTTCGAGATTTCTGGCGTGTTGGTATGGGTATTCTTGGTTTTCATGCTGCGGAGTATCTGGATGTAGATATCTGAGATGGGAAGTGCTATTGCCCGGGATCTACGCATATGGCATACACTGTTATACTCATCTTACTGGTTATGAGTACGGCATGTGGGAATACAACCCCTATATAGTCCCTATATAATATATTGCCTTATTCCCTACTAGCCCCCCCTAAACCCTAAACCCTAAATCCTAAGCCCTAAATCCTTAGCCCACCAGTAAGTATACTCATGGTCTTGAACCGTCGGAAGCTACACATTTCTTCTCCAGCTCAAATGCGCAAGTTCTGAAACTCGTCATCTTACTGGTTCTTAGCAGGGAATAAGGGAATGTATCATATGGATATTATATGAGCTATCGTCCAAACTCCTTAAAGGGCTATATACTGGATTATATAGGGGACTACTATAGGGGTTATTAAAGGGGATACTAGGGGTTTGGACTATAGTTCATATAGGGATTTTATTCCCATACTCCTTATTAATAACCAGTAAGTCATCTTTTCAATCCAGGAGCTAGCCCAGCGATGCAAAGTTGCAGTAACAAGCCTGGTACTCTACTGTCATGTTAGAACTGGTCTATCTGGGTTTTCCTCTCTCAGTATCAGCCGCCATAGCCTAGGCTGCAATAAAATCGTCATTATGGGATTATTCCAACATGGGACCCAAGGTGCATCTACCCCATCATTGCCGCCCTGGAGTACGGGCAGCGCATTAAGATGCTGTGCCGCTTGCATTTGATTATAGTCCCCTTTAAGTAGATAGACTATGGGGTTTATGGGGATCTTATCATAATATACCCAAAGCCATATTTTATCTACTTAAGGGGGACTATAGGCGTCGTGGTCTAGGACCTCAAAGCTTCCAGATCCTTTGCTCGCACCTCATTAGGCCACGAGTTACTGAATTTGGAACTTCTTTGGGTCCCAAGTGTATGCTGAATACATAACCCTAAGGGTCCAAGTACCTAATAATCATATACTAACCCAAAACCTGTATTATATGGACTATTACCCAAAACCCAAGTACCTAATTATTGGGTACTTGGACCCTCTGGGTAAGACCCCTTGTGTACATCTTTGTCACTTCCGTTCCTTCTTTAGGGTATATGGGGATATATTGCTTGGCACAGCCACTCGGCAACTTGGCTGTATGCAGCAGCTTCCGAAGCCTGACAACTTCAAACCCTGCCCGCTGCCCAATGTAAGCCATACTCGAACCGCCTAGTCTCTCCTGAAAACCTTTGTAATTAGAATACTATTCAACTATATATTATTTACTCTCCCATAGAACCCCCCCCCCCCGGTTTTGAGGAATCTAGACTATAGCTCATGTAAGCTTCCCCACTGGCCAGGTCCTGTGCCCTGCATGCTTCACACCGTGGACTCGGAACCCAACATCGGCTTTGGCGACCCGGGATCCCCCTGGTGGCTTGGGCTTACCGGTGGTTCGTACTTGGGGTTTAGGGTTCAGGGTTTGCGGATTTAGGGTGTGGGGTTTGGGGATTCAGGGTTTAGGGATTTAGAGTTTAAGGTGTATGGATGTAGGGTTTAGGGTTTAGGTGTTTTGAAGGGTTTGTAGCTCCCTCTGGCGGCTTGGGCTCGCTGAGTTTCTGGTGGTTTGTAATTCGGGTCTAGGGGTTGGGGTTTAGGCATTCAAAGTTTAGGGTTTAGGATTTAGGGATTCAAAGTTTAGGGTCTAGGGTCTGGAATTTAGGGTTTAGGGTTTACGGTTTAGGGCTTAGGGTTTTTTCAAGGGTTTGTAGGGGGCTTCTAGGATGGTTATATGGGACCACCCGAGAAGAAACCAATTCACATGGAGAACCAAATGGAAAACAACATGGAACATTAAATAGTGAAAATTTGTGTATCGTCGTAATATACATACCCAGGACGTTCTGCTGGAAAGCAGTGAGTGAAAAACAACATGGACATTGCTACCATGTTGGGGGGTTTTGGGCTTAGGGTCCTTTAGAATCTTTCTATAATCCTCAGTAGGAATCCTTCCTTCACCCCCCGGCCAGCAAGAAAACCATAAATCAGAGTTTTCTAAGTGAGAAGACTAATACTACTAACAATAGTAGTCACAACAACAATAATAGTAACAGTAATAATAACAATAATAAGGGGAACAAAATTCATGAGAAGAATAAAAGACTCTAAAGGCTCTTGGGGCGACATGGCAAGTTATGATTGTTCTGCAGACATGGCGTCAACAGAGCATGTGGTTCGCATATGTTTTGTGGTCTCGGGTGCGCTGACCATGGAGATTGCCTTATCTGGGAAGTATAAGGCGCAAACCAAATTCAGAAATACGTTATGCCTGCTGGACGGTTAATATTTCATAAATGATTCTAGATGCCCATAAACTCTCCAGAATGCCCAGCTACAAACGACTGGCCAGCCAGTAACAACAGAAATGCTCAATTCTTGGTATGATTTGGTCTTTGTCGTTTCTGTTTTTTGTCCAGCTGTCTGCCCCATTTCTATCATGCTTTGCATAGAGTTGGTCCTTTTTCTTACCTGTTAGAGAGCAGAGGTGGAACCGCATGACCTACTACATTGCCAACAAGGTCGGAGTGTAGCATGAAATCATAGATCTACCTAGACCCTCCACATAGGTCAGGTAATACTTCAGCAGCCCATTATTATACATATGTTGGGAGTTGCAGGTAGTGTGTATACGTAGGGTGTATAAGGTTTGCATGGGGTTGATGGGGAGAAGCAAAATCTGAATAATGTCCAACCTAGATCCAGCAGTGGTGTTTTAGGGTTTCTGGGTTTAGTGCAGAAGCTGTCATGCTACATTTTTTTCGTGTGCAAGATGTGGCGGGCTCTGAGGCTACAGGCATCCATGTGTTCAGGGTACACCTTCAAGTTGTAGATCGTATTCCTGAAGCAGTCACCTTTACCCCAAACCTTTCCAGAAGCTATGGGCCGCTGCTTGGTCTTTCTGAACATCATGCCATGCATTTTCAGGCATGATCTTATGCTGCCAGTGGTTATGTGTTACAATCCCAGAAAACCTGACGGCTGACAGAGTCCTGGGATCTTAACTTAGGGACGTTGGATGCCTCCCCAGGTCTACATCAACAAGAGCATCTTAAGCTACGCAGGCCCTCTGGTGAAGGCAGAATTCGGTTTCCAGGAGTTGAACTCCAGCCGCCTCTACTCCTTCATGCTGGAGGCGCGCATTCACAAAGAAATTCAAAGCCTAAACCCTTAAACCCAACTCCTAAAACCTAAACCCTAAACTCCAAAACCTGAACCCTAAAGCCTAAACCCTCAACCGAGTTGAACCCCTGTTAGGGTTCAGGGTTTGGGTGTGGGGTTCTTAGGCCTGGAGCTGGAGCGATTAGACTTTAGGGAAATGGTACTTGGTCTATAGCCTAAACCTTAGGTGGGCCCCCCACCCAGTAATAGTGACTATGAGGGATAATAGGGATTATATTAGGGTCCTCTTATAGTCCTATTATACCACTATTACAGGGTGGGGGGTCCTCCTAAGCTAAACCCTTCAAAGGGGATAATATAATAGAGGGTGTTTAGGGTTTAGGGTCTAAACTCCTTGAAGGGGGTTATACATAGAGAACTATGCTAGGGGTTATAAAGGGGGATACTCGGAGTTTAGACTATGGCTCATATGGGGATTAGAGGCTCAACAGTTGAGATTGGGAAGGGGGCAAGTTACGCTATGGGATGTCCGAGCCATCTTGCTCTCGACGATAGACGACTAAATAAACATCAACGGAGAGTATGCAGCTTGCGCGTTTTAGGGTTTGGGGTTGCGTGCCTCATGTACTTTCACCATCCGCACAGTACCCAGGGAGATGCTAGATGAAAACGGGACATTTTCCCTAAACCCTAAACCCAAAAGCCTGAACCCCGAAACCCGATCCAAACCCCTAAGCCGTAAACCCCAAACCCCAAATCATACCTTGGGTCAGGTCCTGAACCTGGTAACAGTGGTATTGTACAATTGTGGCCGGGGCCCAGAAACCGAGCAATTACTACTAGTAATTACTGGCATCCCATGTGGTCGCTACTAGAGTTGGGTAATCTAACTAGGCTGTAGGGTTTAGGGTTTTCAGGGTTTGGGGTTTAGGGTTTTTAGTGTGTTGTTTTGTGTTTTTAGGGTTTAGGGTCCTAGACAGGAGATGCCAGTGGAGTACGCCATCAGCGAGCGACTCTTTCCCAGGCCGGGAAGCAGTGGCCCTGAAGCTTCAAGCCTTCAAATTGTAGCTACTTTGGGCCTTAGGGTCTGTAAGTGGTACCTTCTCTGAGGCACAGGGCAGGTCACAATGGCCTTGAAGCGGACCAGGCTATTTGCAGTCTGTGCCTATGTGGGAATTTCTTGTATTTTTCAGTGCCTCCTTCGTTTTCCACCTAAAGAATAGACTCCCCATTATCATGCTAGATTGTCATGATAGTATATGGAAACACTGCTCGAGCGTTATATAGCTGTAATTCGAGAGACCCCCAAATGGCTCCAGCTGAAACATCACAATTGCTTCGTTTGTTTGTCTGACCATCTATCAGAATCGGTGCTGCTTATCCCTATATCCTAAACCCTTTCTGGTGATTTGTTCATGCAGCTGCAGCGGAAGAGCAGCACGACCCCACTTTCAGGACGCAATCTAGAAGGCTGAAACCCGTTTAGGGTTTAGAGTTTAGGCTGAAGCAATGTGAGGATTGCCGCTTTGTAGTAGAACATGCTTCCAAAGCCAGATTTGTATGATTATTTGTGTCCCCACGCTAGCCACCGTAATGCAACGTACTTGCGTCTATGAGGGGGCTTAAAGTATGCGATCAACACAACTATGTGTCTTGCATGCATACATATCTCTCTCTCTCTCTCTCTCCACACTATGGTAACTTAGTGAGGCTCACTACCCGCATGATCTCCCCACGCCAAGCCCCCTCAAGCAAATGCCAAGAGACGACCTGCCGTCTTGCGTGTTTTTAGTTTTGGGATGCTTCTATGATCCCATCCACGATGAGAATCCTAAGCTTGTGTTGGAGGCCTTTGAACCCTAAACCCGACCCCCCTAGGCTAAGTGAAGAAGAGCCGCCAGCATGACCTCAAACCCCCCTCCCGCAACACAAACCAAACCCCCGGCACCCCAAACATTCTGAAATGGTCGTTTCCCAAACTAGGGGGACCCCAATGTAGACCCCAATAGATTATAATCCTTATTACGGGGACCCCCAAAAAGGTACCCCTAATTTTAGGAAGCTCCCAAATGAGCCGTAAACCCTAATTAAACTGGGTCTGCTGACAATAACATGGCGATTCGAGAAGGCCTGACAGCTGGCCGGCGCATGCGGTGATCTCAGAATTCCGGGAGCGAAACAAGGCCGACTGCATGTTGCATACCTTCCCCTAGGGATCTAAGTATGCAAATTGTACCAATAATGGAGAATGCAATGGATAAGAAAATGGAAGATTGAATGGCAACTGGGGTTATAAAGGGGGGCGTCTACATTGGACCCTTACCTGCGGACTGGAAGGACCCCTCATTAAGTTGCATTTTTTTACGGGTATAATTAGGGCTTCCTTATTATAGTACATTTAAGTTCCCTAACAGGAACCTAGTTCCTTCCCTGCGGACTGGAAGGACCCTACGAGTTTGGGATGTAAGGCTGTCTGAATGTTTTGGGCTGTTACATGAGGCTAGCCTGGCCCACAGTCGGGCCCTCCACGTTAAGGCTTCAGGGTTTAGGGTTTAAGGTTTAGGGTTTAGGATTTAGGGTTTAGGGTTTAGGGTGCTCCACATGGAAATGGTGTCAGGACTCTGGGCCTTTGCAAATATGACAGGTTTCAAAGACAGGGGTTGCCCTTATCGCCCCCCATCAATCTCAGTTAAGCTTTACATGAGGATCCCCAGATGGGGACCTAAACTCTACACCCTAAACTCTAAAACCCCAAACCCGAAACTGGTTTCTTTGGTTGGCGAGGGTATGCCCTTCCGGATTCCGGCCTGCATATAGTGTTTGTCGCACGGGCTGGTTTAGGAGTTTAGGTGTTTGCTTACAGGCTCTTAGTAGGGAATACGGATCAACCCACAACAGCTCTATAATGTCCACAACATAGTTCATGCGGTCTGCCCAGCAAGGTAGCAGGCTCTAGTTGATAAGGAGCTCTTTGCAACTCTCACGGTCAAGTCCTTGCCTTTGCTCCTTGCTTACCGGGGCTTAGTGAGGAATACGGTTGAAACCAAGGGCCCCTAGCATGGGCACTTAACCTGGGACCCTTATATATCCTATATGTACCCTTCAGGGTCCCTAGAATCCCACGAAAAAGGTTCAGGGCCTAAGGGCTCATATTAGGGGCCCATACTTCTAACCTTTCATGGGGATTGTATTTGCCTATTCCGTGCTAAGAACCAGCTTGAGAGCAGGCAAAACACTGGACGCCACCTGCGGAGCTTTTGCAGTTTCTCTCAGACCATCCGGAGCCGTTGCTTGCTACGCATTAGCAGGTAGGCAAAGACCTTCTAAGTGCGACTTACCTAGACCTCCCAAATACCCATCATAACACCCTTGACACCTCAACGCTCAACCCTAAACCCCCATAATAACAGCCTTGACACTTAAACCCATAATAAGAGCCTTGACACCTAACCCTAAACCCCCCAAATCACAGCCTTGACACCCAAACGCTAAACCCTAAACAACCCCCAAAATAACTGCTTTGACACCCATGATCTAGAATATCATCACCTAGGGAGATCCATGGGATATAGATAGAACCTTGGAAGGTTTCAAGCCTAAACTCCCAATCCTACCTAAACCTCCCCAATTCCCATAATATCAGCCTATGTAAGCATTGGGTTTAGGGTTTAGGCCATGATCACGGGTGTTCGGGAGGTCTAGGCAAGACTCTTGTGGTGGGCTTTGGTGTCGACCAAGTCTCTATCTTGACATATGGTCGCGCCTTCCTAGAAGAGAAAATCCGGGTCGTTGGATGCAGAACCGATGAGGAAACATATAATAAGGTTATGTAAATAACATTCCAAAGTTCCCACCCAGAATTGGGTATTGCCTAAACCCTAAACCCCCTCAAGCCCTAAACCCGGGACCGAACAGGGTTTCTGCCCCGTCTACAGTGGCGAAAACCTGGTGCAAGGGTTGAACATGGTAGTATATGAACTAAAGTCTACACTCCTTGAAGGGGGAGATATAGGGGATTATATGGGGGACTACTACAGGGGTGATTAGGAGGGATATTGGGAGTTTAGACTATAGCTCATATGGGCGTTGGTGTTTGGCTTCAGGGTTTCGGGTTGAGGGCCAAGTGGGGTGCAGAAGATGTGAGCATCTATGGGAGTTTTGAGGAGTTTTGAGGATTTTTCTTCAGCTTGATCAGATTGTTTAAGATCAATGTTGGGTGACATGCGGCAGCCCGTCCAAGAATTCGTGCTGTCTAGGCTCCTGGTAGGTCGACCTCGGGAGGAGGTATATGACATATGAGCCATAATCTAAACTCCTTAAAAAGGGGGTTATATTGGGGACGATCATAGGGATTACTAAGGGGGATACTAGGAGTTTAGACTATATCTCATATATCCTTATATCTCCTTATATGAAACCCATCTAACCCAATACCCTGAGCCCTAAACTCTAAACCCTAGGAGTTTAGACTATATAGCTCATATAGTATGCGAGTGAGACGAGGTGCTGACTATGACACGACTAACCCAAACATATACTAGTAAGCACAAGGATAAGAAAAACAGCAAAAATACTTGTACTAATTACTGATACGAATCATAATAGAAAGGATATTAATCATATCTGATAACAGTAAAAATAGTAGTAACAATAATACTAACAATAATATTAATACTAGTGGAAGGATCACTCCGGTACCCTGAATCGAGGATTATGCGGTTCCTAATAGTAGGTAAATAGAAGGTAGTTGGAGGTCCAGGTACATAGAAAATGCTGATGCCCCAGGTGCTACTTTGGGCCCCGAGTATGGTACCCGGACCCTTTTGGGTAAGAAAGAAGCAAGAGAGGCTCTACGTGGGCTTCGGCAGCATGGTGAACGACCAGCCCGAGCGAGTTGGCAAAATCATTTTGGATGTGACTGCTGAGTTGGATTTACCAGTGCTCCTGAACACTGGATGGGGAGGAGGTGGATGGGTTGGGAGTTGCATGCAGTTTGTGACAAGAGGTTGTTATCTTCTCGTTAAGGTCTTCTTCAAGAGGTAGCACGGGGATGTAGTGAACAGTGGGTGCAGGCATTCAAGTGGCTGATGCGCAGCTTCCTCCACAAGCATTTCTCGTCAGCGACATTCCCTTCGACTGGCTCTTTTCACGGGTCCGTGCGGCCTATTGCTGTTTAGTAGGGAATTTCCAAGGGCGGAATGAATGCTGATAAAACGCCGCGTCCCCATGGCCATACTCCTCCAAAGTATGTAGAATCATAGGCTTTTCAGGGAGGGGGGGGGTGGGGGGTTGGGCCATTAATGTTTGTGTTTCTGAGGTCCAGGTGATTCCTTACCAATCACCAGTAAGGCGGTCGTGCACCATGGCGGATCTGGCACTACGCACAGTGCTCTTCGCTTTGACAGGCCGCAACTCATCATCCCTCACATTGCCGACCAGTTTCTGTGGATGCGACTGGTGAACAGACCCTCGGGCTTCTTCGGGTAATGTGGGGATAATTTTGGGGTTATATAGGGACAATGGAAAATAAAATGGAACTATATATAGGCAGATAATATAGGGTTATAGGGTTTAGGATTTAAGGTTCAGGGTTAAGATTTTGGCGTGAATCGCTTGAATACTCCCATGCAATCCTTACATATGGTGGGTTGTCAGAATTCATGCTCCTTTTTGTTGGTTCCCATTTCTCTACAGCTCTTGTTCAGAGAGCCCGAACGGGGAGCATCATTTCGACAGTCCTTCATATACCGTTAGTATAGTATTCCTCCTGAAAACTATCAGTTGAACAAACTAACAGTTAAACCAGCCTTTGCTGTGCATGAGTATGTACTTGATCTGGTTATGTTTATGAAGGGATGTGACTGATCCATTTGGCCTACCTACATAATTTTATAACCGTTTAAAGCAGAACCTCGTACAAACCCAATTGCAAATATGGGCTTCTCAACAACCATCATGGCCCCCGTAAGCTGCTGTTTCAGGGAGCCGCCAAACACTCTCCGCGCATACTAGGAGGATCTTGGTAATTCCACCCCTAAACGTAGGATCCTGTAGCCATGTCTTCAGCAGGGTGCTGATTTGGGTCTTAAGATTGGTGTTACCAAAGCCTTCACATTCATTCAAGACGAAAGGTTCAAACAGAGCAGCACGCCGCCCTAAACCGTAATCCCAAACTTCCCTAGGCACCCGCACACACAACAAACCCTAAACCCAACCTCAAAATCCTAAATCCTAATCCCCAAACCCAAAACCCAAAACCCTAAACCCTAATCTCAAAACCTTAAACTTTAATCCCAACATCCTAAACTCTAATCCCAAACCCCTAAACTCTAATCCCAAAATCCTTACCTCTAATCTTAAAACCCTAAACCCTGAACCCAGGAATGGGTTTTGGGCCTATGGGCTTTCCTATCAAAGCCTTCACGGAAGATGCTTTCAGATCTGCACTGGTTCAGCTGCTGAACCTGCATTACCCAAAACCTTGCTCCTAGAAGGGGCTGGCAGGCCTCTTGCCGGGAGTTTTGAAAAGTCTACAGGTTAGGGTTTCGGGTTTAGTTAGGGGTTTAGGGCTTTAGGTTGTCGAGCTTAGGGTTTAGGATTGTAGGAGCTTAGGGGTGTAGGCTCTAGGGGTGTCGGGTTTAGAGTCTATCCGAACCCACCCTTTCAGCGCTAGGCTCTGTCTTTTTTGGTAGTATTTGGTAGTTTCCCTAAACCCTAAACTTTAAACCCTAAACCCCAAACCTGTAGAACCCCTAATTTACGGAAAGCCCCATTTATAGCCCGCAGATGATGGGTTTCGTGGTTCAGGTACAGTGTAGGTTTAGGGTTTGGAATGCAGGGTTTGGAACTTAGTGCTAGGGTTTAGGCTTTACGTTTTAGAGTTTTGGAGTTTAGGGCTTAGCGTTTGCCGATTCATCTTTCATTGTTCTTTCATCTTCCTTGTTGAAGGACATGTCCGAAATTCTGCAACAATATTACGATCCTAAATCCTACATTGTCGGAGCAAAGGAGGTACGGAAGAAAGACGCTTTCAAGTTGGGCAAAGATCACCGTCCTTAGCTCTCTTGGCGGGAGCGAGGCACCTGATGTGATTGGACCGAATCAAGTGGTTTCCCAGGAGCCCTACAGATAGGACCGGTCGCCTACAAAACCTCGTGGTCTGTCCTATGTGGGGTCCCGCGGAGTTCGGTCTACAGCAGATGTACGAATGCTGATGGCTGGATGGCAGTGAGGAGCTCAATCGATCCTTGCGTATCGTCTTGTACCTGATGGCTGTGGAGGGGGACCAGCTCGAAACCCTAATTGAAGCTGTAGCTATCGCTTAGAGAATAGGGTTTAGGCTTGAGGGGTAGCTATTCGATTCGCCGCGCACTGTACAGGGAGACCGTGGTGAAATCTCAGACAGAATGCTTGAGAAGCACTTCAAGAAACAGCTGAGAGGGCAAAAAGGAAGTATCCTTCAGGGCGTGAAAGGCATGCTCCTCTGGACACACAGCGATTGCACCTTTCCTCTAATTAAGTGGTCCAGGTACTTACCTGGTAGTTTCCCAAAATGAGGATATATATAGACCCTATTACCCCCCAAAATGGTACCCCAAATTCCGGGCCACATCTCCCAAGCGCTGAAACCTCGAACCTTACACCCAAGACCAGAGAAACCTTGGGCCCGAAACCGTGAATCCTAATCCTCTCCCTCCAATACTAACTTCCCCCCACCCCCACTAAGATTGAGTACTACAAGTATGTGGTATGTTATGATATAGAAATATATATTGGGAGTATTTCATGTTAGGGGGGTGGGGGGGGTGTTTGAATATCAGGGGGAGAGGATTAAGCCCCAACACTATCCATCCAAATGCTTAGTCCAAAGTAGGTACAACTTAAGGCCCAAAGCAGGCTTTGTTTAAAGGCGTTAATGCCCTCGTCAGATCCCACGGGAGTCCTATACACCCTAAGCCCTAAACCCTGAAGCCTATACTTGGAGGGTCAGGGGGACTTAGTATAGGTTAATAATTGGGATATCTAGGGTTACTATATGGGTTATAGGGGTTATTAACCTACTTGCTAAGTCCCCCTGACCCTCCAAGTAGAACCCCAGAATTAGGAATCTTACCGACATGGCAGAGCTTAGCGATGGCCTTCTGGGTAGTCTTGCACCGGCGCTTCCGCCGAAGTTGCAGGACTCACGCGGTTGAGGGTTTGGGGTTTATGGTTTGGAGGGAAATGCAGGATTTAGGTTTCAGGTTTTGTGGTTTAGGGTTTAGGGTTTCAGGGGTGAGGGTTTCGGGATGGGGGCTCAGGTATTATTGTGGAATCTGGGTTTAGCGAGTGTATAGGGTCTAGAGCTCAAGGTTTTAAATCCTGGGCTTAGGTCGCGAAGTAGTCTGGACTGGGCAATGCCAGGGTCCCACAAGAGTTGCTACTTGACAAAAGAACCTCAAAAGGGAACAATACTGGGTTCCTCTACTACCCGCCAAGCTTCCCCTCAATCACGGGCTTGACGGTATCAATAGGGCAAAATTTCAGGCTAATTACAGCGGAACCTAGGATAGTAGCATACTCTATGATTAAGCTCTAACGGGGGAACCCATGAGATACAGGACCCACCACTTTGGAAAGTTAAAGCCTCCACGCAGCATGCTCACCCAAGCGTTAGCTTAACAGCAGGGATCGCTATAAGCAAAGTAGGTACAACTTGTAGACCTAAGGGCCAAGTAGGCATGAATTATAGACTTGAAGTAGAGGCCAAGAACTTTGCACATCAGCAGCTACCTGCTACCTGCTTTGAAGGATATCACGCTGCACCTCACTCGCTGCCTGAAGATCACGGATGCGGGCGTGCAGGCTTAGACTACAGGGCCCCCAAGTAACTAGAGCAGGGTTTAGGAGTTTGATGTTTGGCGGTGGGTCTAGACTTATGTGGCAGGGTTTGGGTTCTTGGGGTTAGGTCCCGAGATTAATTGACGCAGGCATGGTGCCAACTCTTAATAGTTGGGTACTTTGGAGTCTTATACATTATTATTATTATTCGTAGTAGTAGTAGTAGTAGTAGTATGCTCCAAGACTACAGGTCTGTCAGATACTTGGCCCCCAGGCAAAAATTTGAATCATGATCCCCAACACATATTTCCGAATTAGTTTGAGACCTAGTGAGGCCACAAGAGGCTTATGTGCTAAATCAGGGTTCGAAAGTGCGGTTGTGTTCTATGATTTATCCCATGCCGCCATTCCACAAAGCAACAAAAGGACTTTTCTACGTGAAGCTTTACTGGCATTATAGTCCCCCTTAAGTAGATACAAAATGGGCTACATGGGGATCTTATTATGGTATACTCAAAGCCATACTCTATCTACTTAAGGGGGACTCTATCTAGAACCTTCTTATAGGTGGGAATCACCCCAAGGATTCCGCTTAGGGTGTAGGGTTTAGGGTTAGCGCCTAGGGTGTAGGGTTTAGGGTTTAGCGTCTAGGGTGTAGGGTTTAGGGTTTCGGGTGTGGGGTTTAGGGTCAGGGTTTAGGGCTTAGGGTGTGGGGTTTAGGGTTCAGGGTGTAAGGTTTAGGGTGTAGGGTTTAGGGTGTAGGGTTTATAGGGCTTTCAGGGACACATGAATTTCAGCCTTGCTTCTGAAGACTGGGCCCTCACCCTACCCGTGCTGCACCTGAGTTATTGTTGACATTCATCATTATTCAGCTAGGGACCCAAAGATGGACTCTTCATGTATATGTACCATCATTCAGTGTACATATATATATACATATATATAGAGGCTAGTTTGTATCCCAAGAACAGAAACAAATAGACCCCCATCATTTCAGTAGGGTGCGCGCTTGCTTGCGACGCAGGCGCTATGCAAATGCAGCTTGGTACAGCAGTCAGAAAGCTGTACCCAACGTGCTGTAAAATGGTTCGTATTGTGTGGGTTGCTATGGGGCTTCAAAGGAAGTTGTATTTTCAGAGAACTCTAACTACTGTATATTCATCTAACTTGGTAGCTGATTTAAGGTCTTTGATTGTGGCAGCACGGACCGCTGAAACTCCACACCTACTCTACGGAGGTATGCCGCAAAGATTGAACAGAATGTACGTGGCTGTCTTTGGGTGCGCGAACCTTACGGACGCTGGTGTGAAGGCGATTGCCGACTCGTTGCTTCTTGGACCATGGGAGGATTTGTGGTTTGGGGTTTAGGCACCAACTAAACCTGAACTTAAAGGGTCCAGGTATGTATACATAATAACATGAATCTATTTTTTCTTTGAGGCCCAAAGGGGTTCTTGGACTCTTTGGGTAGGAATTTCAGGTTATGATCAGGTTATACGGTTGGGGTATAGGGGCTCAAGTAGTGACGAGAAGCAAGCAGAAGGTGGGCAAAGGAAAGCGAAGCTTGATGGCAGGGGTCTGAATAAATGAATAGGACAGGCTTAGCTCTAAGGGGCTTATGCTTCGGCCACAAGGTATACGAAG